AGTAAATACAGGCGGGAACCAATATGCACATTTCAGAGAACAGAACTGCCCCGGCGCACATGAAATCACGAATTTTGTGGCTGAAAAGCACAGCTGAAGCCAACTTGACAAATTTTTCTCAACGTAGATCTGCTGACAGACGTGTTTTGTCTCAAGTATTACACAGCTAAGGACAAAACTCGTGCAGATCTAGTCAGCGAGACGGCGAAGGTCTCACTGTGCTGGCTTTCCATTTACCACGCTCAGCGCCAGCAAAACGCACCACACGTTAAAAACGGCTCTGCCGGAAGGCCACTTCTAACAGAACACGAAGCGGGGATTTAAAAGGCAAAGCTCTGGGAGCCTGAGTGAAGGCCCTCGAGGCACAGAGCCACACGCGGCGGACGTGCGCTGGGGAGACCGGTACCTCTTCGTGGTGATTTTCCTGCCATTGACTATTTTAGTGGACGTCGATACCGATTTGAAGTTGCCCATCCCGCCACCACCAAACGCCGTGGACGAGAACGAGGTGATGCCGCCGTGGCCCAGCGAGCCGAAGGACGTGAACCCTGCAGGAGGAGAGAACAGGAGGTGAGGGTGCTGTCGCGACACTCCGAGGCAGACCTCCACGGCCGCTGTGACCCCAGGTGACCGCACGGGAGCCACACCGTGGCGGCAATGCTGGGCAGCCCTGTGGGAGGGGTCGAGCCGGCGCCGGCCGCACGTCACCCGCCAGCTCGCCGGGCCTCGCGCCGTCTCGCCCCATCACAGGCGGCCGACGCAGCTCCGCGCACCACGGAGGGCCCAGGACAAGACCGTGCGTCTTTATCCCCCAGGAAAAACGTCAGTGCCACAGAACGGCAAGCCCACCCTGCTGCCCTCCTTGCAATGTGACCACGGGGCACAAAAACCTCAAGTAGCTTTAGGAGGAACACTACAAGCACGTACCTGAAGAAGCATGGATGGGGAGGGGGGTGAAAAAGGGGAAGGGAGTAAGAAGTACAAATTGGGAATTATAAAGTCACAGGGACGCGAAGCACAGCACAGGGAACATGGCCAGTGTACGTGACAACCACGTGTGGTGCAGGGCACTAGACTTATCGGGAGGGTCGCTGCGTAAGGAGCATAAACGCCTAAGCGCCACGCTGTGCCCCGGAAGCTGACATGACATAACGCTGTCCACTCTAACTGAAAAATGACAACTAGAGAAGCCCCTTTAAATGTCCTCATGGCCCCACTATCCAAAATGTCATCACACGCATTTCGAGAACCTTGAAACAGGCGGCACTGTCTCTGAACCCATCTGTGTCACAGTGTGACACATCTGTGTGTGCACCAGCCACACCACCAGCGCTCAGCAGCTCCAGGGGCTGTGGCTACCGCACAAGACAGCACTGGTCTAGAGCGAGCCTCGAGCCCCACGACACGACACGACACGACACACTTCCTACGGCTCCTCGAGGTAAGGGCTGCACCCCACAGCCACAGCTCACACCAGCCACGCACCTCTGACGGTGAGCGACTCTGCTGAGGGTTTAACCGCGGGCCTCGCCTCGGAGGCCCTGCTGGGAAAATCCCGACCGCACTGCGCGCTGGGCTGCGGCCCCCGGGACGGACCGGCCCCCGGGACGGACCGGCCCCCGGG